AGATTTCTGGCTACATCTTTCTCCATAGGACTGATTTGGTCGACTGTGTATTCCGCTCGTCTGTGATGGGTGTTTCTCTTGGGCAAGGATTCACTTCACCCGCCCTCCCTCACTGAGCTGTCTATTTAATTGAGGAACTTACATTTTTGACTCGCGATCCTTCCTCAGCGTCAGCGTTTCCGTTGTCACGCTTTCATTCCTGGAACGCCTCGTTGTAAACGTCGATGGCGAAAGTCTTCCTTGCCTGGAGGAATCTACCCCTTCGGCCCTTCGAGTCGACTGACATTCCAACCTGCCCTCGCGTCATGAAACATTGCCCTACGGGAGTTCACTCTCAGTGTAAAGGGCCTTTGCCTCATGCATCGGAATACAAATCACTCAGTTGTATTAGAAATGCTGGAATGCGGATACGTATCTCGTGCGACGGGAAGTTCGATCCATGAGCCCGTGTCACTAGTTCTTACACGCCTTGTCTTCAAAATCCACAATTTCACTGGCTCCGAATCGACTCATATTTCTGTCTATTCACCTGGGTATGGGCCTTGCGATTAATCAAAGTAACTCGTTCTCAGAGCTAGGCACTTCGCGCATTTCTGACGCAGTTCTGACGACGTCATTCACGTATTTCAGGAGCCGCAAGAAAAAATATAAGTACTTCATCTCAGTTCAATGAGGTCATTTATTTCCCCCCACCATCACAGCGAGCAGAATGTCAGAGTCTTCAGATATTTCCATGCCCACGATTCCTCCAGCGGTGCATCCCAAGACCGTATCGACTCAGCCATCGGCAGCATCAGGAATGGTCGTTACTCACGATGTTCCAGCACGAGGCGAACAGACAGAGGGACCTATGAGGTTGAGAGGAGGATGTATACCATGTCCTGTAAGTCACTTCTGTCGCTCTATTGAGGTACCGAACTACGACTGAAATTGTTTATTGACAGGATGGCGGCTGTTGTTTCTGCATACCTTGTTGCTGCTGATCCAAAGCGCACATCCTAATTCATACTCAATACACGACCCATGCATGAAAGGACTTTAGTGTACATCTATAATTGCTATCGATAATACTACTTTGTTGAGTTGGACTTACCAGCTACCGCTCCACTTGCTCTGTTCTTCGAAGGAAACTCCCACGGTAACTTGAACCCCACTTTTATACTTGAACGGGTAAAAATTACCATTCAAGTTATTCTACCCAGCCAAGCAACCTCGAGGAGGGGCCTTGATGAGAGTGATGTGACTAGTCCGTGCAGGGTGGATATCACTGTACTTTTGGGGAGAACTTAGGCCGCGTCGCCCGCTACCCGCTACCAGGGTCGTTATACAACTTGCATCGCTTGACGGTGGGTAGGGAGATGCGTCATTTCAGGACATTCTTGTTATAAATACGCCCAAGGCGATCCCAATAAACCCCAAATCGAACCTTCTTTCACCTTCATCGCCCAGCTCAGCATGGATCTCATATTCTCGACCCAATCTGCGAAAAATGCGACCCTTTCCTTGCCCACCGGGGAATTAGTGTATGGGATATCAACCGCATCCTGTGGTTCAATGTCATTAGCGCGACGTACGACCATCAAGAAGTTTGTGAATGCTGGTACGGAGTCAACCGAGATTGGGTTTATCGAGATTCATACACTCGAGGATGATGTCTGCCAGGTATGGGGAAGGCATCTCAAACCAAGGAGTGAAGGATTAATGTCGAGGTGAGTGAATTGTATCTGGTGAATCCGTATACGGGAAACACTGACCTCGTTCTTCCTGTAGCAAACGGAAATTCACGTCATCAAACGGGCAAGAATACACTTGGAAGCAAAAAACCAGCGGGAAAAAAACATTGGTGAGGAGGTTACCATTTCAACTCGATTGTGACAATGGCCTAAACGTGCATAATAGCTATGGGACAAGTTCCAGAACACTGTAGCTGTATACGAAGACAAACATTCCGGAATCTTCAGCGGAAAGCCAAGTCCAGCTAAACTGTCGATATCACCTGCGGGTTACCCGATCGTAGACGAGATTTTGGTCACCTTTCTCTTCGTCAAGCAAAAAGAGGACACGAACTGCGAAATCGCACAGGCGATTGGAGATGTTGGAGGTGCAGTTGGTGATGCGGCTAGCGCTTGAATTTTATCATAGATGGTGCAAAGTTGAGTGAATGTACATGTAGGTTTCAATAATAATAATAATTGCCGTTTTGAGTGTGAGTTGAAGCGGAGATTCAAATTTCCAAATGGCACGCGACGCCTTGAGGTCTAGACACCTTTTTTAGTAGCAACAAGGTCTTCCACCATTCAAATTCTCTCCCAAATGCTTCTCTCCATTCCAAATCACCTCTTTCTCTCTCTCGAAATGACACACAGCCAACCGGTGCTTTCTGGATGCAAAGGACGCTATCAACACATACCAGGCGGAAATAGCGAAAGATTCAGCCAATTATTCATGGAACATTCGTTGAAGACAGAATATCATCATGAGCTCTTCTTAACTTTATTGTTGATCAATCCAATCGTTGGGGCAGCTTGGCGATCTCCTCCGATCGTGATGTCGCCCCGATCTGCGGTCCTCAATGAGGATTCGATTGCCTCCGATTTGGCCCTCTTTAGTCACTGCCCCTCATCAACTTCCCTCTATTTTTTCAGTCTCAAGCTCTACCATATGTTACTGGCTTCCATCACTGGCCCTTTCGGTCCGTAACTCTTCTCAAACCATTGCGTCGTCCCATACCTCCGACTATTCGCACAGGATCTAAGACGAACATTCTTGTCCTCATCATCGCTCTCAATAAAGTACGGCGTTCGTCCTTTTCCGATATTGCACTCTTCCAGCTCTGAATCGCTTCAGATTTCCATCCATCACTATCTCCGCGAGGTTGAGTGGGATCCAGCTGCTTTGACGGACTCTCTATTCCGTTCACTTCGCTCGATCACTTCATTTTACTTGCAATGGATGTTCTTTCCGACAAGGTTTCACTTCACCGGCTACTCACACTCATGCCATCCCCTACTAAGCTTTTCCTCGAGGAACCCACATTGCATACTATGGCCTCTCGATGCCCGAAAACATGGTTGTTATGCCTCATTCCTGGAAAACTGTAACACTTCCTTCCTTCGTCGAGAGAACCTCACCCTCACGATTTGCCCTCCCGACTGTTCCAGCAACTGGCATTACAACGTGTACTCTCATCAAGGAACATCGTCCTGCGAGAATTCACTCTCAGTGTAAACGGCCTGGAAGCAATACGAGTCCCAGGGCTATTTTGGAAACGTCGGAATGCCAACGCGTATCTTGTGCGACAGGAAGATAAGGCTATGAGCCAGCGTTTCTACCTTCTACTCCAAAATGATTTTTTTCGCGGTTATACCAGTAGCTCCGAGTCGATTTGAATTTCTGTCCATTCACGGAGGTGCAGAATACTTCTCAATTCATTGTTATAGTTGGCCCAGCCACAATCGATATAGGATCCCGACGCAAGGCGGTCGGAATGTTCAATCACGTTCAGGGTGCTCACCTCCTGATAGATGGTGGTCCGTCCTGGAACCCGCAACAGCTGTGAACCGTGTTTGCTCCTACCAGTAATGACCGTGGTAGGTAAGAACTCTCGTAGTATTTGCCTTACTTTCGTACTCCGACCGCTCCCGAACTTGTACCAATGAATTAATCTTTTACCGTTGGCAGGAAAACATCCATCGGCGATTTCTAGGATTAATCACCGTCAGTTTATAACCGGGAGCCAGACCAACCAGGAAGGAGAGATAGACACGAGAGGCTCGTCTGAACAGTGAGTTTGCATTCTTAACCCGTTACCTCATGGCACGAGAAGAGCTATTGGATTGAAGCTTCTGAGAAGGGTTTATATCGGCTGACTGTATGATGGGAATCATCGATTCCTCGCATGGTCCCCTTCACCACCAGATAAGACAGGCCCGGAACTGACGAATGGGACGTCGAGAGATAATCACACCGCGTATACGTGTATTCGGGTCCTTGGCAGTAACACATTGGCAGGATTTGGCGATTCCAAGTTGGTCCAACTCGTTCCTTTTCAATAGCTCACAATGTGATCATTTCAGGCTTTCGCTTCCCAGTTCTGGAAATAGAGAGCGGGAGCCCATGCGGATCGGCAGTGTCCACGTATGTTGCGGAAAACCTCGAGGTACCGGTACGCTGCGATTGCGAACGTTCGTTCGTCCCCATTCTACATCTCCTGGTTATTCACGGCCCGGATAAAGATGGACTGTGAACTAGACTCCGTCCTAGATGGAAGTAAAGGAGAAAGAGCGGGACAAAGTGACATCTTTGAAAGCGAGAAAAACGGGAATTGCGGTTTCGAATTCGTTGTAGATGTTTAGGCTACTAGGCAGGTTTTTGGCGTCTCTTTGCCCAAGGAAAGTTTGATATTCAGTCGTTTCGATCCTCCCCCTTTCTAAAGGGCCAGAATAAAGACTCACGCAGGTTACTATAATCTTGTTTCTACTGGATCTTCCCAGGCCGGGCCGTCTGTATACGGGCTAAGATGAAGGCTCTCCCCCGGATTGTTTACTCGGTCCACCTGAGCTTGCCAATCAGTCCTTCAAAATTGACAAGGAAACAGTCTAAAAACATCCTGAGGATATGCGTGTCCACTGTCCGTTTAATCGCAAGAAAGAAGTTGGAACACCGTGCCATCTTGATCATGACCCAATCCCCGCGATACCATTATTATTATAGGTTTCCTGTTGCGTAGATGAACAAGCGTAGACTAGACATGACCGGGATTCAAGAAGCCCTTCTGCCTCATCTTGGGGATTCTGAACTCCGAGTTAACGCCGTTGGTTCCCGTTGTTCGAAGGGTATCAAGAGTCCAAAGCACTGAGTTGTTTCGGCCTAGTCGACGTCGAGCATAAAAAGCAAGGTTCCCCGTGAAGATAATAGACTCATAGAGTTGTGGAAGGAGGAGAGACGACCACTGGAAATGATGATGAGGGTATGTAACTCAGTTCAGCTCGGCTAAACACGTGCCCGTAACTCAGTGGTAGAGTGTGAGATTGCAACGTCATCGTTGTTTCCTATCTTGAAGCCCCGTGTTCGACCCACGGCGGGCACTTTTTTTTTTTTGCTCGTTTTCTGTTCTTCCGCGTTGAGCACCGCCAATTTCAATTTATCCACAATGCACATCCGCACCGTATTTCCCAACAATACTAGCTATGTCGGAAGTCCATCCGTCTCAGCGATAGGCTGTCATGTCAACAAGGAGAGTTACTTCGAGGGACTTCACTCGAAACATACACTCGGACCAGGTAGCTAAATATCAATTGGAGCATGGTACCAGAATCCTCCAAGATGTTAGTATAGTGTTGTACCTATACCCATCGTCAAAGCCCCAAAAAACCTGTGCGGCAGGAAACCCAAGTCTATCTTTCTGAGCTAAGGTGGGGTAATTATGATTTGGAGAAGATCAAAGCGACTTTTGACTCGTTGCTTTTTTGATGTCGCGAGATCTTCGCGTGAGAACGGATTGGAGTCGAAGTGACCAAGTAGTATAAGGAGTAGGAAAGCGGAGCTCCGAGGTCAGAGCAAACCCGACATGAGTCATTCACGACTCTATACCAACCCCAATCCTCACGCTAGCCTGGTGAGCCCATAACTAGGCTGCTTGGAGTTATGTCGAAGCTAACATGGAGCGATGAGCTCCGATTCCAGGATGTTATCATGGTTCGGTCCCGATTTAGTGTAAAGTTTGTGGAGAGGATAATTGGACTACACAGCTCCTCTTGTGATCTAATCCTTCGTGACACGAGCGTTTCGAAGTAAATCTGAATGAGAGGCGAAAATTCGAGGATGTTAGTGGAGTGCCCCGCCACAGAAAGGTGAGCTTCCACCGGAAAGGTGGAAGCGATTCAGTATCGTTGAAACTGTCGTCCTTTCCCTTATGCTCACATACGGGAACGCATTCGTCCCGACCTTCCACCCACACGAGGGAGAAACCTACCGATATGACCACCCGTTGACTTCGTGAAATACCCCCCCCCCCCCAATGGTGGAAGACCAAGGTCTGGTTGATCTGGCCAATCCTTCAAGTGGGGAAGAAGAATAGACGTTTGAGGCAAGAATATTAAACCAACGCACAAGTCACAACTGCCTTTTGCGCAGAAGTTAAGATCAAGGATTGGATAACGAGCAACCGGTCCTCAAATTACCACAAGTATGTTACTTGTCAATAAGTGTTATCAAGTCGCAAGGAAGAATCTCGGACACCTGATTGCTAAGGAAATTAACGCCATCCTCGCCTGAGAGCTTCATGAAATTTTCTTCCGCAAACACCTTATTCGCAGGTACAGGAGTCAACTTGACGTTTACCGGGACCATCCATTGAATCAGGCTCACCTCAAATAGCTTTGCAATCGAATCCGCTTCGAATATGGCAATGCCATCCCACTCAAAAGAGTCCCCCGACGGCTCCGCGCGAACGTGAAGCTTCAAGGGATGGTAGTCAGAGTCCAGGTGAGATTCCTCAAGGTTGCAAGTGGTATATGATCATTTACCTGCTCATACTTTGAGACAGAGGTGGCAAGTAGGAACTTTTCCATCAAGGGAGCATGAGTGTTTAGCCAATACTGATCGAACTGCACTTGACTAAGACCCTTTTTCCTGCGGAGAGGTATAAGGACCCTTGCAATATCCTTCCGGATGTTGCCCCCAACTTCCGCTTTAATCCTGGCATCCTTGGACGATTTCTCAAGAATAGTGGCGATGTCAAAGCCTCCGTGCACGATATTTTCGAGTTTGAAGAGCTTCGATCTCCCATCGCTGATGACTTTATCTAGGTAATCAGGATGTTGGACGACCTTTGTGGTGAGACACCAGACATCAAGAGATCGAAAGCGCTGAATTAATTTTCCACTCACCTCCGTGATCTTCTCTAGAGATTCCCCTTCCATTATCACAATACCATCGAAATCGGGCACCTTCACTTGTGGGTATTGTCCAAGTCTCTCTTTCCATTCTTGATTTACATGGAGCTGTATATCGAGATCAGTGCTGACCTTCGACGGAGTCAGAGCAGACAAACTTGCTCATATTTCAAGATGTTTTTCTTTGTAATTTCAAGGTCTATAAAGATTTGAGCATGTTCGTGACTCCAGTAACGACTCCATTCTTGAAAAGATATGTCATCCTTCTTCTGCACGAAAAAAAGGACCCGTACGCGGTTCTCTATGAAAGGATTGGCGGTTATCGTTGTGGTCATCATGCAGAGATGGGAGGAGTTCGCGATCTCGAGGGGCCTGCATTTATTTGTTCTCAACCACCATGCCATTTCCACACGAATTGGAAAAACGGGGGTTGCTGACCTTGCCTTTATCGCATGTCACTGACGACTCTACTAACCGAGATCGAGAAACAATTCTCGGTATGTGTTTACGAGTAATCGGCTGTTTGGAAGCTAACGTGAGATGATGAGCTTCAAGATACTATTGAGTACCAAAGTCAGCTTGAGGTTTGACGCCGGAGAGTAGAAATAATTGTGAATTGCACTACGCACCCTCTCTAGCCAATGTAGAGTCTATTGATACCAGCAGGTAGAAAATTCGAGGGCACTGGTGAAAAAGCCATTGGAAAGTGTGCTGACTGAAGATTTTTAAGCAAGTGCGGGTGGGTTTCGAGGCAGACGCGGAGTCAAAATCCCCTACCAGCACCACCACAACGTCTATGGCACGGACCCACTCATCCATATCAGCCACAATTCTAGCGTCTACTTCTTCACTCCCCCCGCAACACTTTTCTTCAGAGCTGAACCAAAAGCGATCTTTCTAGCCTGTAGGTGCAAAAATCAATCGCCGCCGGGTTTCATCCAACGATTCGACCGGTCATGTTGAAACAAACGTGCCAATCTACTTGTGAATCAAGATTGGGCCTATATTTGATTCTTGAACAATTCATCACCTGGTTCTCGGAAATTTTCGTCGAGAGGAATAACGCGATGACAACGTCCCTTCCAACTCCCGAGATTGGGTAAATTGTTAAACGACGAGTAAGTTACGTTTCAAGACTTATTTCAGTCTTCGATGGACTGAATCGAAGAATCCAGGGCCACTGAACTGGTTTTACACAGATCTATCTGTTTAGACCAGGGATTGCTTCCGTTTTTAAGAACGTTTTTGAAGAAGAGTTCTCATATAGACTGAGAAAGAACGCGGAAACGCGTTGTGGATCTGGTCACCCCCGAACCTATCGCTGTCGTTATCGTGGATAGAGCGGTTAACTTGACGCCCTGTGCCCTACATCCGCGAATGAATTCTCAACCAATTCTCACAGCGCACCGTTGTAGAAATTTCTATCCCTATCCGCTGTGGCGCAAGAAGGACTAGGAGATAAGGGTCTGAATACAGCATCTGCATACGAAGACCGAGTTTGTGGTCGCTCCCGACGCATTTATCGGATATCGATAACTGGACACGACTCATATATGTGAGATAAGGAAAACGTGTTCGCTGGATTGTTCTTCTCAGGTTCTGTTGTTTTCATATCACCGTCATTCCTCATCTCAGGCTTTATCTGATGATTAATGATCGTGTTCAGTCTCGTCTGGCCAATGTTAGGACAGGTGTGCTTTATTCCATCCATACACAACCTCAGACTTTCAAGCTCCGAGCTTCAAACACTCGGAGCCGAATATTCATTTTTTACCGCTTTCCGGTCAACGTCAAATGGGCGCAGCGCAATTCACTTGGTTTTCGTTATTTCGGACTTTGCCCGCCGCGAATGACAGCCATCAGGATTTTGGCCGACACAACACAGTTGCATGTACGATACGATTCATGGTGCCTTTTCCTTATCTTTAAGTAAGTTTCGTATATCATGACAAAACTCAGTTCCAGGCTTCAGAGCTTCAGCAGCAAGGTTCAATTTAACGATATCAGTCACCAAGTCTGATTGCCGTTACATACTTACAATATTCCAACTTCATCGGTCTTTTGACTCAGACGCGGCCACACAGCATCAAGATATCTCGAACGTGCATCCCATTATTGATACCTTAAAAAAGCACATCCTGTTTCTGTTGTACAATACTGACGGCTCCTGTGAACCTCGACGGGAATCTCATCAACGGTGGCGTAGCAAGAGACCCGATGGGCGAACGGTGGGCACTGATTGAGTAGGAGTCTGGTTCGTGAGCAAATTATGCTCTGCCTCCATATGCATTCAATTTCTTGACCTGTTACTCTCATGACATTGATAATTATAGACTTCTCGAAAAACAAGGTCGAGTCGAAGAATACTTTCCCGTCTTTTTCTATGGTTTTCTATTTTCCTTGTCATCATACACCCGGATGACAGCGAAATTTAATTAGGGGTTGCAAGCTCAAGTCAAAGCTGCTTAGCGACGCCTGGAATTCCCTAGCGAGGGTCAGACTTGCTTGAACCTTGACTAGCGACTTACGGCCCCCGCTGGCCTTTAGTTCTACAATTCATCAACGGCAGTTTCCATGGTCCTTCTTTCTCTCTATTGACAGTCGAATACACGGGAGTATCTTGGTAAGTAAGTTTTTCAATCTCCTAGCATCTCGTTTTCCCTGTTAAATTTTCACGAGTGTCTACTCTTCGCCGCCTCTATGTGCACCGGACTACCGGGTATAGATACTCGAGGTCGAGTAAGACGCGGAGTGAAAACGGTCGTGAAGTGTGCTAAGAATTCCCATACTCATCAATCGTTAGTAACATTCAGACTCGGGCTTTGTACTCATCACCCATCTGTGAGTTATCCAAACAGTGGTCTTACTTGGACATCTTCAGCTCTCAGATAAGACGGAGCTGTTGAAAAACGTCTATTTTTCCCCCTGAAGGTACGTGGGCATCAGATTTCAGACGTTCATTTCACGTTCTGAATCTCCCGTTTTATAACAGACTTGTCGACACCGGGAGGTTTTTAGACTTGATGGACTAATTTTAGGAACAACCCGTGCATAAATGCCACTGCAACACAGTGCTTTGGGAGTCTGGGAATCTGTCCACAAATCAATCATTTATTCTCATCCCTCAATCCCGGGGCCCTGCTTTGATCGTAGTATTCTGACAGAAATCACGGACTCGGGAGCAAGAGGTGGCCGGTGAGACGCGCGGAATGTCCAGGGGCCGAATGGTTAATATTGTATTATGTCCAAATGGTATGGTGATCTATTCCCAAAAACCTTTTGACAACAGGAACAAGGAGCGGGAACGTCAGCGATGGAACCTGTGATCACTGTTTCTTTAAAATCTGCTGGGAGGCTCTTCACCTCACCGAGTTCAATCCAGTCATCTTCTGCTTCTGAGTTGTACAAATGTTTCCGGCTCCCGAAATTTGCGATAAACATACACCGTGTAATGGGAATGACATGGACAATGTACTGCTTCCGGCCCGTGGCCCGCTTCCGGTACCCTTTGCCCCATCGACCACTGGGTTCTGGGTTCTTATTTCCCATTCCCCAGGCCATACTTGTTGCGAATACGTGTACACGTAGAAATCGCAATCAATGATCAATCGAACCACTCACTTCGATCGTCGAGTTACCGCATGAAGGTCCGGACTCCGCAGTTCTTTTCAATTTGTTTGTTGAATCACGCGACCTGAACCTCGGAAAATATCTTTTGCTGGTTGCTTGGTTTCGCTGACTTTCAAGAGAATATCCGAGATCATGGAATGACTACTAACTAACCTAGTAATCAGAGCGGTCGTGTGCGACGTGCCACGGATGATTCTCCCAGTAGCCTCCTCTGAGTCTTTGGGGTACAACTCGAAGCCATCGATTCTTCTCGAACACGCATATTTTTTTCCTTCTTTCCGATCAATTACAGCTACCAGATTCACAGGGCCACTTGATCCCCACGTCGAGATGCCTTTCCCCTTCCCCAAACTTTTTGACTCCAGCGGCATTCTGAACCTGGCCCTTCTCAGAGTGATGACAAGGAGATTCCCGAGAACATCTCAGGCTTTAGCATGTCCACAGCTGGGGCCTCCTCTTTACACTCCTCTCACACAGCCGTGGGGCATGGGTTCGCCACGATGTGCATGCTCGGGTTCACTTACACCGTACAACCCTGACAAGAAATCACTTCGTTCGTGTTCTCTGACAGACTCTGGGTGCCTGGTTTTCACCCGGGTAACGCTGCGGTATCAAAACTTGGTGAAGATACGGATGAGGATTTCAATGCTTGCCTGGCCAATTGAAACACCTTATTAAAAACAACCGACGGAGGTGAGTATTGCAATGCATGCAAGCGGAAAGTCGTCGAAAGGCTGTTGTGAAACACATTTTTCATCCTCGGATTCCTCGTCAACGTCCCAACATCCTTCAACTACGCATCTACGCATTGAAGGTGTGGCCTCTTGCTTGCACTGGACAAAGATAATCTTCCTTGGATTTTCCGTGGACTATCGACATCGTTTGGCTGTACTTGCAGGTTGTCTTTTTGAAGTATCTCGAGATATCGAGCTCAGTGATTAGTTTGAACCCGTGTTAAATTACGATCACCACGGTCAAAAACTCGACGCACAAAAGCCTTTTGATAATTGATCGGATCGTGGCTGACTTCCAGAAGGTCGCCAGTGACTTCCTACATGGTCTGCCGACCGTAGGGTCTTTAGAATTGCTCTTGGACAATTATCGAGCACGTTACGTCCTCGTTTCGTCCAGAGTCGAGCTTCGAAGTACGTGTTTACAGATCTGCACTACCAACTCCGAGCTTGCCAGTGGCACACGACCTGAAAGTTCAAACGTTCACTGATCTTGGCGGATCGATAAGTCGATAGAAAACTCGATAACTGCCCACACCAACTTGGTGTTTCGTACGTCCCGGTTCCTGGCCGCCTAAACTTATTTCATGGATCCGTGCATTCGCCGAGGTTGCGGATGTGAGCGAAAATAACTCGATCGGGAAGCTTCAAGTATTGGTAGGCAAGGGTAATCAAATTTTTAATTAGCCAAGTGAAATTGTGGAACGCGGACCCATCCGTCCGTGGACGACAAGAAAATGTGTAATTTCAGGCATCTAGTCTAGATCGGACCAACTTGCGGGGGGGAATTGGCTTATCCTTGTCAGTGGTCTTCAACCTGGTCTGGAACGGAGTCTGATGAATGGCTCGTTCGTTGAACTTGGCCATGGAACTTGACCATGGAGGGTGACCGGAGACTGTATGATGCTCAATTATCCTAAAAAATAAATGATGGTGGTCTGTCTCATCAGTGCCCGCCGTGGGTCGAACACGGGGCTTCAAGATACTTGCAATGATCTAACACAGTTAAGCTATTGCAATCTCACACTCTACCACTGAGTTACGGGCACAATACTTACAATTAACCATACTCCAACCTACTTCCGATTTTGTGATTTGCCCTATCCTCCGAGGTCGACACAGACCACCACAGACCGGCAACCATATCCACCATCGTCAATATCAGTAAATTGGAAAAGGGTCCTCAACGAACTATTTGGGAGAGAGCTGTTGTACCCAGTTGGAGCTGTTAAAACGTCTCTCGCTCGGAATTTCCAACGAAATTTTCAAAATGACCTCGAGCCGCCGCTTGTGAAAGGCACAAACCTTGGACCTTCCGTTACCGAGACTCCCGACTCCGAATTCGCAGACCGAGTTTGGAGTCATACATAGTCGGTGTGTAATCAGGATTTGGTGGTTAACAATATTGATTTCGAAAGGCAAGTAGGCCGTGCCCGTTATTGAAAGAGCTGTGTTCTGCTGCGCGTTGATCCAAATCTCAGACAAAAGACGTGCAGAAAAGCTTTTTTTTTTTTTTTGAAATTCGTGCCCCCCCCCCCTCCAAAGGGGGTCCCGGTCGACAGATCTCTCGATCATGCTGGAATAAGCCTCAGCTGGGAGAGGACTGGGTGAGAGTCTGGGTGCATAGCCGGCTGAAAGCGCGCACACGTATTCTTTCCATGAATCATTTTGTTGCATTGATTTCAGTAACGGTATCGGCGTGTCTTCTCAGATGGAATTTTCCGAAAGACGCGTAAGTTGTACGGATCTCAAGCTTCCGACCGCAGTCAAGTTGTATGCAGCCTGCTATAGCTCACTAACCGAAATTACCTTCTGGAACTCTATGTATTGATAACTCATTTAAAAGAGAGTTCTATAAAATTTAACGCAGCCCGGCCTTGTTTATATCTTGCGACAAAGTCGAGAGAAACATAAAGTTTAGCATTACACGTCCGACTCCGATAATGACTTTGGTGCTCAGCGTCTCACAGTGGAAGTTGCTAATAATACATCGACCGGACTATAAATAACAACACATTCAGACGCCACTTCAATCTCCCATCGCAAAATCTCGCAAAATGACATTGACCATTGAATCCCTCAATTCTCCTTTCGTAAGGGTTCCCGACCTTCCTCGGATAAGAAGAAATAATGGTAAACTGAGAGACCCGTGTTCCATTTTTAGGATGCGTTTAGTTAGAATAGCGTATAGGGACCTCGGGTAACGCGTACAACGGCGTTTTTGAGCTTTTAAGCTTTCAAATGTGTAGGAAACCGAAGTACTAGCTAATACTGAGTGGGAGTGAATGGTGCTGGAATATCTAGTTTTTCACTTCCCCTCACCATTCGGGGAACAAAGATAACAATAACAATGTAGCCACTCGTCGCACCCGACGCTAAGCCGAACTTTAGACAATGATCAAGGCATCAGGTTGCACGAGCTGGAAGCTACGCTAGGAGTCTGGGATCCCATAACCGCTTAACCCCCGCCACCCCCCCTCCCAACTGTTGTGTATCGGGGAGCGGCGGGGGCGACGGGACGACGTATATCTCATGAAATTCTGTTAAGGCGGGACCAACGACGTTCCTAAATCCATATCCATACCTCGGCGATGTTAGCGCCAGTCATGATATACTAAACATCTGATCCAGGGTCGCATCCAACTGTTACGGAGGACTAGATTTCATGACAGAAATTGATACAGAACCAAGATCTAGACAAGATAAAGCATTAAACAACTGCTGAATGGGAACACGGGAGTGTAGGGTTAACAGACAGGTCGCGCCTTCCGCCGAATCATAATCGGAATTAGGGTAAACTTATTTTCAATCAGTCCCTTGGGATTTTCTTGTGAAACACAAAATCTGAAATGCCATGTCTAATTCGATACAAGGGTGCAGCTTCAAGTGATCGATGCGATGCAAAAAAAAAATAAAAGCCGTGACTTGGCAGACTATCCGTCGAAAAATTTCCATTTCTTGGGTGGATTCCAAGTAGGGCCTGGAGGTCGGTTCTAGACCTTTCAGACGTCGGGGAGCTGGAGACGGGGAAAGCGGGGGTTATCAAACCGACGTTTATAAAGCGAGTAGTATGAACCCCCAAGATACGCATTAATTGAAATGGACCAAGGAGCCCCCGACGTGAAGGCGTGGGAAAAAAAGTTCCCAGGCCTTGAGCTTGATGTGCCAAGCCGGAACGACTTGAATATTTCACTGATTACACCGTTGTCATGAAGACTTTCCAGCTCTTGGAAAGGGGAGAGATGGCAGGAGACGAGAGGAGATGGCAGGTGGTTGTTTGATTTTGTTCTTGGTGGTGTGAGCTTCGGGACTCCAAAACTTCTAGAATACGTACTACGACAAGCAGCACTAATTGCGCAGTAGTGCTGGAGCTTCCGTTATTATGAAAAGGAAAGTGCCGATCATGGGGTACGATTACAAGTTTTACGATACACTGTTTTGCAGGACTCGGTCATTCGTACTAGACATGCCAGAAAAGCTTGAAACCCAGGCTACAGTAGATATGTAGGAATTCATAATCGTTAGTATCTAGGATCTGGTCATGATCTTACCCCACACCCCCACACCCCGAAGTAGAGGCGCGGGAAACAGACGCTTCTCAGAAGATCCACTTGGCCCCATAATTTGATTTAGTACGAGTCTAGTATAGTATCATTATGACGCAGACCTTCACCTCAATCGAATTTCGAGGAGCTCAAAAACTCTCGGAATTCAAAATCCACAACGATCTTACTGCAACGCAAATCAGTGGTTATTTGATCACGAGAAACTCCCTCTAGGTATGGGCGTTGTTTTGATCGAAGCTTGAAGAATATCAGAACTCGCGGAAGCCGGAGCAATCCAATGTCTACTTTGACCTCCCAAAAATAAAAGCGTTGAATTCGGAAAAGGCGGCCTATGGAGCAAATTCGGGGCTTTGGAAAGAAGACGCAGAGACGTTTTCGGTTCTGTCCTCGTGGTTGGTGGTGTACTAGAAAAACCGCAAAGACGAACGTGTTCCCACAATTCGAGGTGGCACGCGACCTGATGACCGCTGTACCTTGAATAATTGTGAGATGAGTTACCATGACTGATCCCAACTGCTACCGTCGTTTTTCTCACTGGTGGTTAATCCGGGTTGTCCAGAAAATTAAAACCAATGACACCGATAAAATCGAAGAATCTCCGGTGAGTCATATCTTAGAACAGACAAAGAAGATGGGTTTGAAAAAAGAATAAGCCTGTAACTTGAGGTTCTTCGTAACTGATAGGCCTTTATCAATGATCGGACTCACCGCAAGTCCCAAAATTCGAAACCGGGACAACTAGAGAGACTTCTGAAGATACTTGGAAGACCCGTTAAAGTATTCCTGAGAAAAGAGCCAATCATAGTGGCAAGTGAGCCAAAAAAGCCTACGGGTTTGGCGCGCATTGCGGGCAAGCGCGTCGCGCGTTTCACGCTCGCTCCCCTCGGCCGTGAAAGAAGTGGAATGGCAAAAGTAAAATTCTTTGTCCCCTCCAAGGCTTCTTCCTCCCATATTTCTCTTCTCAAGAATCCTCTGAACAAAATTAAAAAAGACAATCGAGATTCAGCTGAATGTTAGGCGAGAAATCGGGGGGGGAAAGAAGTGGCTCTAGACCTCAAAGGCTTCATGTCGTCTTGCCACTACTTCTGACACTATCCTCCTGTTATTCAGACAACTCAAACACATCCAACCGGCCGTATACATGGTCGACTCACGACCGGAGCGGGAAGGACCGTCGGGAGAGAGCTGAAAAGTAAGAACAGAAGAGGAAGGGGGGGGGGCATCGTCAGTCACGGAAAATCCGCTCATCCCGCGAAAATCCTCCTGAAAATCAAACACATGGACTTGAGCATACAAAAGCGAGACACGAATGGATCAGATGAGATGAGATGAAAACCGGGATGGGAATCGAAAGCACCGTTGACCATTGTGTGTCCCTCTCGGCCGTGGATCAAAAGGTGAAAGAAGGAGGCGTGAAGAGGCTATTGTAAGGCGGGGCTTTTTCTCTTGGCTGGTTGAGTGTTTTCACCTCGGAGTTTTGACAGAAAAGAAGGGATGACTATTCTAGCGCATTTCTGAAGGTTTTGTCAAGTTCCGAACGACAAAAAACACTACTAAGGTAAAAAATCAGCGGGTTCCCTTGCCTCCTCAACGCGTATCTAACATTCCAAAACCGTATCACAAAAAAGTCCCTTGAAAAGAGGAGAAGGGGGCGGGGGGGGCACACCTCAGGAAATAGGTGACCAATCGCGATACACCCTTCAAGTAGCACTGCAACACCTCTCATCAAAACTCGGACGAAAATCCCTCTCACTCTTACTCGTAGGTTAATCAATTGGCAAGATGAATCAAAAGTGAGGTCCTGAGATTGAAATCTTGTACAATTTGGAGAAGTTGGGAAGGTGATTAACCGTTGGACCATTTTACAGAGGCTATCAAAAAGTCGAACTCGGCCGTTATGCATGGGCAAACTCCCTTAGCGGTGTGTGTAAAACGACTCGGCCGGGGTGCGTGGGACGTGCTGGTGAGTGCCTGCGCCTCCCAATCGATCCTCACAGCACTCGAGCTTTCCGTTCCCAACGTAGCGAGAGAGCCGGGAGGAAGGAAACGAAGAGAGAACCAAACGGAAAGAGAGGGGGGCGGGGGTGAATGTGAGTTCTGCAAGTCGAAAGTCCTGCATTTCTCACAAATCCGTCGATTGCGCTGTTTCGTCGGCTAGGAGCTGCCTCCACGATTCAACGCTAAAGAGGCTGACGGAGCCTGAGGTTATATTGTAACGAACACGAACGATAATCCTCCTGGGATCAGGAATCAAGGAAGAGACCCGGATGATCGACATTGTACGTATACTGCCTTCGACGGTAGGGGAAAAAGAAAGAAAGACCGCTGAGGGAATTTGTTGTGATCTCGGCCGTGAAAGGTGGCAAAAACACCATAGTGAATGTGAGGCGGGATGAAAAAGAAGGGAAGGGATGACAGGGTGATGGTTTTTGTGCTTGGTGAATATGAAAAAAGAGGCTTAGAGGAGGTGAGAGGAATGGGATAGAGTAGTTTAGAGGATGGCACGGGGGAGAGGTGAGGAGCTGAACGGAGAAGAACGACAATCCTTTTGGTGGTTCCCAGGTGATCGACTTTGAAAATCATTGATGTCGAGGAAGAAGCTTTGACCGTAGAGACTCGGCCGTGCGAAGGTTGTGCATGGTCGATGGGGAGCGTCAACGGAGGATGGCCGTTGGACACGGATTGAGAGGTTCAAGTCGGGTCGCGTCAACTCGTTACAGTGACACGAACGACGATGAAGACGACTGTCTGGACCTCGATTGGGATAGCGTAGTTGAGCAACATGAACGACGATGAAGACGCGTCGAAAGACCTGACGCGTTGGAATGTAAGTACGGCCGGGGGGGAAGGGTTGGAAAAAAGGAAGTAACGGAAATCAGCCTCTTTATGAAGGAACCGAGGTTTGTGAGATCTGGGAGAACGCCTCGGAGATGGAGTTATTGGTCATTGCCAACCGTTGACCATTCACCAATATCACTTGTTAACGGCCGGAAAAGGGAATGAAAACAGAAAAGAGGAAGTCTCAAGAAATCCAAGGATAAATACAAGAAGAAAGGGACTGATATAGCTCTCAAAATAGCGAACTGGAATGAGAAAAAGTGAAGTACCACGAAAAATCGTAGCATTGACCTCCGGCCCCAGGTGATCGACATAGCTTCGGAAGGTTAACGGATACATTTTGTTCCGTTTATCGGCCGTGTATGTAATTTCAGTCGAAAATTAGTAAAAAAGTAGTGCAGAGAGAGCAAAAAACAGCAAAAAGATGTTCTGCTGCGCCGGAAGATCCAGTTTAATATGAAAAAGATGAGATAATCATGGTAGTGTAACGGCGGAGGTAACCGATCTTGCCAAACAAGGTAAATGTCTATACAGGGTAGCTACTAAGTATAGAAAGATCTATCGGGGTGAATCGAGATCTGCCGTGGGAATAGTTAAAAATGTTATATCATAGCTTCACTTTTTCGCCAACCTTTTTCGCTACTTACACCTCCAACAATGACGACTCGAACAATTCGTTTCGCACCTTTACCAGATCCTCGACGCTCAGTGATCCTTACTGATGATGGGAAAGAACATCCACTCCCAGACTACTCTGACGACTGGGATGAAAAGTCTGAATGGTCTTGTATACCAGAAAGCTTCAGTCTAGCTATCATAGGTCTACCAGCTACTCCAGCAAAATCCACTTACATTCCACCACCGCTACCTTCCTCAACCAAGTACAAAAAACGCTCATCAATCACCTCATTCCTACGCTTCTCCCACACTCATTCACGCTCATCCTCCCCGTCATCATCACCCGAATCAAGCCCTAACCCAGGCTACGACTCCCTTTCATCATGCTCCTCAACTTCTTCAGCATCCTCAAACTCCAGCATCCACACCCTCACCCCAACCCAGTCCAATGACAATTCTTCCACTTCTACCACCACTACAACTCCCACACCAAAAAAATCTGTTTTCAAACAAACGCCCGCCACCCTTCCTCTCAACTTTGGCAGTGGTCTGTTCCGTGCATCGTCAAAGGAGCCACCTTCATCTCCCAGGCCACGTTCAGCTACGGACAACTCAGGTTCAGGTTCATCACTATCACTATCTCGATGGACATCAGGTCCACCGAAAGCTTCATCTTCCTCTCTGCCTGTGAACTTTGGCGTCCCGTTGTATCGGACTCAGAGTACCCAGAGCTATAAGGTGCGCTCTCTTTACCCGCCTTTCTTTGTGTATGACTTGTCACCGACGGTACCTTATTCCCTTTCAGAAATCAAAGCGTCTCGCAGAACAAGCACGCGCAAGTGGCCTGTTGTCCTCATTACACTCTGAAGATAAGGGTCGCAATGGACAAAAGATGCTAAATGGGAGGGTTTACGGTGCCAAGAGGAATTCAAAGGGTGAGCCTCTTTCACGATCTATGCTATCATTTCCAAAAATCTCGTATCCCACATACCCGACCTCCACTTGGTGTCACGCGTGACATCATGTGTGACAGTTTGACTCGCCCAGCTAACAGCTGCGCCGGGTCGGGTCTTTCCCAGTCTTCTGCGGCTTACGCCGTCCACGGGAGCCTCGGATGTCTTTCCGGTGTTTACCTTTCTTAGCATCGCACATCGTTCTCATCGACCCTCTTGCAATGTAACAGCCACTGATCACATCGCTTTCACAGGCATGCCCGTCAACCACTTCAACTCGATAAAATCCAACTCTATCTCCGAATCCGAATTCGTCGAATGGGGTTATGGAGGTATGGGATCTGTGAGACACCAAAAAGACGGTGTTGGTGGGACTGTTTGGTCTAAACTTGCTTCTGGTGAAGGGGACGATGAGGGCGGTGATGGTGGAGGTATGGAGTGGGTCAGAAAGAGAAGAGAGAAGAGAGAGAGGGAGGCGAGGGAAGCTAAAGAGAGGGAGGAGAAGGAAGCTGAAGGGCGAGAGCAGGAGGTGCAGACGCAAGAACCTTTGACCACGTCGCCTTCACATCCGAGACCTACACCTACATCTACATCGACGTCGACGTCTACAACGACCCCAAGTCAGATTACGCCTACACAGAGCTTGATGAATCAGGCTACGCCTACGCCTTCAAGACAACAAAGTACGATCGACGAGGCAGATTCCCAACAGCAACAGCATGTAACAAGGGCTGTGACCGTCCCTGCGCCTGTGTACCGGCATCATTCGCATTCGCATTCTCATCATCGAAAGCCTTCTTTGCAGCTCGTCTCTCCGACTCCGAGCCAGAGCGAGGCTGTGAAGGAGGAGTCGGAATCGACCACAGCTGTTCTTCAGCTTGCGGAAGAGCCGGAAGCAGCGGTGTCGAGTCCGACACCTCCTTCTTCATCTGCTTCATCGTCTTCGGACGGCGAAGATTCCGATGAAGAGTCCGAAGAAAGGGAAGCCGATCAGGAATCTGAGGATGAGGAGGCTGATGAGGAGGCCGAGAGGTTGAGGATGACTTGTAAAGGAGCGGGAGTTGAGAAAGTTAGTGGACATGGGCATCATCGGTGATCGACTCACCGGGTTGTTCTGTCTTGAGCATTGGCATTCTCTACCGATTTTTCTTCTTCTGGCTGAGACGTTTATACCCTTCGCATACATCCCTCACATATCACTCATCTCATCTCAAGCAGTTTTTTCCCCCCACGCAACTCACTCCTCTTTCATTCTTGCAATCTCTGGTCTCTCTCGTTTTGTTTAGTGTATATATCAATATGTAGGATACATGGTTTCTTAAGATTATCGTCTAATGAACAAAGTTTAAACTTTACATTCTCGCAGGACGGCTCTAGAGCGAATTCCTTTTACCTAGCCACGGAAGTTGTGAATGTTGCGCACATGGGTGCTCTAACCAGCCATCTAGATATGGTGCCCGTAACTCAGTGGTAGAGTGTGAGATTGCAATTGATGCACAGTCGAAGCAAATATCTTGAAGCCCCGTGTTCGACCCACGGCGGGCACTTGTGTTCCTCTTTTTTTCGAAGTTGGATTTTCTAGTTCTGTCACAATCAAATGAGTAGCACGGTATTTGTGAATTCACCGGTAACTCCAACAGCTCCTCAGGCAGCAGACTACTGTAGAGTCTTCTGACTGTCAGGCGTCCTTACTTCTGTTCCGCTGAATAAAAGCCTAGCAAGATCGGCATGAGCAATGGCATGGTCTGGATCTGGTCTGGATGTCAAGATCTCATTTTTTTTCGACCCTACGCATGAGGCCTCAGTACTAGGTCTTGAGGACGAACGAAAACCTCCGAAACTCAAGTCCTTCTAGTATCTCAGTTCATACGCTCGTCGTCCCTCTTGGCCTTATCGAGTTGAAATTTGGAGCGGCGGGTAAATCAATAGAGGAAGTAAGTATCTTATCGCGATATCACCAAAGTATGTGCACTGAGTAGACCGTCAGAACAAGCTGTACTTGAAATGAATTGGCCAAGAGGTTGGATGTGAAAATAGTGCGTAAAAAGTACTCATGAGTAAGTATGTATAGACTTTAGTCATGACCCTCGTTCCTGATTTCTGAGGACCGGTTCGCTCCCTTGCGCTGAAAGGCGGTTAAACAACTCAGGCTCAGGACGCGAAAATCGGGTTGTCACTCACGCCACCACGCTCAACACGGCGTTCGCCGTTCATCTCGATATACCAGGGTAGAGGAGGGTAGAGGGTTACGGTACTCTATGATGTTTTTTGTTTTTTTTTTTTTTTTTTTTTGAGTTCTCGGTAACCGTTACAATGACGAGCTGAGCGGCGGGGAGTGATAAAGATCTGATACCTCTTTTCATGAGCCCTTACAGACTGAACTTGAGGCCTCCGTTGCTCTCGGTTGACATGCCCGACCGATAATCTTGAACACAACTACCTATGTACTAATACAATTCGCGTGCCTTGTTATCGTGAACCAGAAGGAACAGGGAGGAACTCATCGACATCAACGGCTCGAGCCAAGCCCGAGCCAAGATATAAGGGACAGTGGCGGAACGGTGCTGGACTCAGTCGGGGAATTTGAACAAATTTTGATGATGAATCTTGCCTGATTGAGGGCCTGCGATGAAATTTATGATCATTTATCAAAGGAGGGTTGGTCAGCGAAGGAAGCCCTCCGAGGATGAGTACTCGGAGTGGCTGAAATTGGAAGATACATTGTTCCCTGATGCTTCACTTCAGTCCGCCTGTATGATAATCGAAAGAGGGTGACGTGAGTGCGTAAAAGCGCTTCGAACCTAAACCATCCGAATAAAATGAACACAGTTCTTGGACAGGGAGCCCAGAATGGAGCGTGTCTTCACTCCAATTTCTCCCATCTAGACTCTGCAGGACTCGATTCTGGCTGTCGGAAGTGACGGTATGTTAGGTAAAAAAGGAAAGAGACTGAGGCACGTTTACTGACCGAAATGAACATGAGTAACGCCAACGTTCTTTCATGCAGATAAACGTTCTCAAATATTATAACGTTACAACTTTGAGGTTCGTTCGCTGCCGTTCTGAATCATCAAACCCATACGGTCGCATGGATAAGTTTAGATGGAACGAGTGATTGAATTGATGTGCGCAGGTCCAACTGCCGTGAATTGATGAACGGCTTGGGCAATGTGCGTAATATAGCCGACTAGCAAAAAAAAAAAGTCACCGGAAAATACGCGTCATGATGGAAGTGCTCCGAGTCCTTGAAAGCCCGAGCTCCCACCAAGTCCGAGGTGAAGACTTGCGACTTGGGCCCATTAACAGGATCGATCATTGAAGCATCCAGAAGCTTACGGTCCCATATACGGTTTGGTATACTAGTCTTAGAAGAACAAAACCCTCGATAACACGTCTTGACTGATCTGAGGTTCTTTTATCTTTGCGCCCATTCAAAGATATATCGGGAACGTCGGACACTCGGATAAGAATCCGAAAATGGTGTGAAGGGGGGTACGGGTACCGCAATTTCCCGCAATTCAGACCTTGCATCAAAGCTGTAGAATTGAAGGCTGTTTCGGTTTAGTGGAATTCAAGAGGGTCCCTTTGAGGTTTATTTTTCACATCAAAGACTGGGCGTAGTAGTCTGGTAGAGTCAGTTCAAATACAGACATTTACATAAATGTACAAAGACATAGAAACCAGCAAGCTGCAACGGCAACAACAACTTCAAGCTGGTGTATGCGGAGCATATCCGAGGTTGACCTAGCGACAAAAAGTGCTTGCATGGCTTCAATCGACTTTGTATTGATAGTAGGCGAGCGAAGGAGCCCGAGGACCGAAACGGGATAAACGCGGAATGAGAGGGAATGAGGCGCACCCCGACAGTCCTGGGCGGCGAGGCGGAAGGTCATTGAGTGGGTGATTGAGTGTAGCCTGTACGTGCTGCACGGTGGCATAGTCGTGGAGCGGAGAGGTTCTTCATCGTAGGAGGTATCCAGGTACCTTGCTGTTTTTTGTCATCTCGTCAATCGAGATCGTCAGCCAAGTTCGCGTCCGAATCGGAAACATGTTGTAATGTCTTCAAGTCGAATGGTTGGGGACTGACTGTTGGAGTAGTCGGAAATGGAAAGTAAGGTGGAATTCCCCTATCTCGTATAGAAGAGAGGACATAAAAGCCAAACTCTAAGAAAGTCTTCACCAAGGGCGGCTAATAGACAGCAAAGCGTATGAAAGCTATATCAAGTCAAAGTTATCCGAATATCACTGAGCAATCTTCACCCTTATAGGTTATATTTCGCTGCGATAGCTCTCGAACTGCTTCCGTCAACAGAGCGCACCATCGACCGCGATACTCGTTTGATTGATGGGAAAGCAGATATGGATATGGATAATGAATAAAAGACCAGCATCTATCAACTTCCATGTTCATATCTTCAATGGCGGTTTCCACTTTGGTTCACCATCATAAAGCCCTGATGAGGGTGAGTATTGCTCGACGGTAAATAGTCCAAGCCCATGTTTCTTCGCAGTGGGACCCCTCTCCGCCGTCGAGATCATGAGGATAACTTATTTATCCCAACCTTTGTGGCGGCATCGAGCGAAGTTCAGATGACGGTAGGTTGAGGCATATCTATCCCAGAGTAATATCCGCGCTTCAAGGCTTCAGCCATTGCCGTTTCGCCGATTGCGACTTCCGTCCTTGGTCCCAAACTTTTTTGCTACTCTAACTTGAAGAATGAAAATCTAGACCCGCACTAGTGAATTTCGAGGGTCCACGAGGCTGATAGGTACCTCCCGAGTCCGCTCGAATGCGTATTAAACGTGGATAGCTTGTGAAAGGCATAGATTGGGGTATCAATACAGTCAAAAAAATGAAAGGAAAGGTTCCGGGATCTGGAATCTCCTTTTTTCACGGGCAGAGAGAAAGAGCGGTGGGTGGCACTGTACATATAGATCCATGGACCACACAGCCAGTACGATGCGTCGACCGAGGGTGTATACTCGAGAGCGGTCTAGTTCTGATGCACAGGCGCCCGATGTGGAAGGTCGTCGATAAGCAGGCGGACGCAGAACTCACTAGTGATTTACAATAGTGAGAGAGTCCGTGAGGTATGGGCCGCAAACGAGTGGAGCACACAGATATTTGATCTCTAAGATAGGCCGACTTGGACTAGACTAGCCTCCCTTAGCCTTTCCTCGAGACTGTGGACCGAAACGGACTATAGGCCTCAAGTCCCCGTTAGATGCGTCGAGAAGTGAGATCGACTGTCAAGAAGTTCAATAGTCTCACAGAGTGATCGTACGATGATACCGTTATGATCAATAAACCTCCGCAAACCTCCTTAGCAAGGCAGGTTCCTCCGAGGTTAGTGACGTGCATCGCGTTTAGCTGGGCGATAACCTGAGACAGTGAGGAGTAAAAACACTCGAAGGTTCTCGTCCAGCCCTCCGCATTCATTCTTGGCGTGAAGAGGGAGAAATGGGGCTTTGCGACAGGTTTAACCTTTCCTGGGTTTCTCGACGATAGTAAATGCGAGGAAAACGCGAGGCCCTAGACTCTGAGAGCCAGATCTACTCGTTCTGAGTTTCTTTCTGGAAGACAAAGGTTAAAAAGGCCGTTCCCAATGAGTTCAAGATTTGGCTTGCCAAACAAATTACCAGAAAACATGGCTGACTCGAGCTCGAATCGTCTAGATGGTGGTGGTATTCGGAGTCTGACTAGTTGTCCAAAGCCCGGTGTGGATGGCGAGGATGTACAGAGTCTTGCTCAAGCTCAGTGGTAGAGTGTGAGATTGCAATTGGTACTTAATGGTTTTCAATTGGGCCCAGGCTTTTGCAAACATCCTTGAAGCCCCGTGTTCGACCCACGGCGGGCACTTGCCGGCGGATGAGCGTTGTTCTCATATTTTTGGGCAAACGGCTACCTCAAGTTGCACGAAGTATTCTCCTCATTTCCTACTCACTTGCAAATTCTACCACACAAACATATAGAGGCCAATTATTTCCTCAGGATGATACGGTCAAACGAGTTTGACCGTGGTCTATGCAGACGAGACACGTGCCTTTCAGCTTTGCCTCAGCTAGACAATGCTTGCCACCATTATTCACGATGGCAAAGCAGGTCTCGCTGCCACAAGTGGCATCTGCCACATCCTTTCTCGTATATATAGCCTGGTCTATCTACAGTTGTTCTTTGTGTCCTCATATTTTCCTTCACATCTCACATTTGCTCGATAGCCTCATTTGAGGTTTTTCTTTTCTAGGACACCATTCCCACGTATAATCGTGTTGTCACTCCGGCAGGGAGAGTTTGCTACCAGAAGGACGGAAAATTCATTGCACGTTCCAGTGTTCCCCCGGAAATTATTACCAGCTTCGAACTAGCCGCCCCAGCACCCGCTTCTCCCAACGGTCACATCACTTCACCTTCTTCTGAGCCGTCCGTCATGGCTACAAACGAAGATCAAACTCCTACTAGTACACCACCAGCCACGTCTGCCGATGGTATTACCCCATCTGCCTCTCTACTCTCTGGATTGAGCTCTGATCAGCTTCTCCGGGTACT